TGATGCTCGCCAGCTCCTTGAGTACCCTGGGGTGTAGATATCAGGGCAGGCTGACTTGAAAGTATTCAGCCTCTCAAGGTGTTCCTTCACGAGGTCACCATTAATGGAGAGCAGGGGATCTCCCTCACCCTGACCTCCCTGTCCTGTGGTGGGCATGGGCATCCATGGGACTGATGAAAGACCGACGCAAAATACCCATTTAATAGGCTGGCTTTTTTTCTGGGCGTCAGTTGTCCCATCTGGTTCAGCAGGGGTCCAGTGGTGCCCTTGCTTTTCCTCTGGCTCCCCACAGATCTGAAAAAGGACTTTTTATTGTCCTTGATGCTCGAAGCTAGTTGGAGTTCCATTGCAGCCTTGGCTTTCCTGGCTTGCTCCCTGCAGGACTGGACCAGTGCAGAATAATCGTCCTTGGAAGTGAATCCCATTCTCCATCCTTTGTAGGCCTTTCTTTTTAACCTCAGGAGATCTGCTAGATCCCTGGAGAGCCAGGGGGGCTGCTGTGCCCTCTTGCTGCCTTTCCTCTGAGATGGAATAGACTTAGCTTGTGCATTGAGGATCACTCCCTTGAGGAGCAACCACTCTTCTTGAACTCCCCTCTCCCTGGGGTCATGGTCCAGCCAGTTTTGTATTCACCTTACAGTCCATTCATCCAGCCCATACTTCCTTAGCTTTCCTGTGAGAATGTAGGAGACTGTTACAGTTTACTATGAACAAGTGAAGTAGAGAAAGAAGTAAGGAGAATTGGAGCTATAAAATACATAAACAGAATTCAGCAAGGAACCTTAACTGCTCAGGCATGCACTTTTCAGTGGACTTTTATGAAATTGTTAAACTTTCTATAACATGAAAATATCACGTCAACATCTGTAGCAGCCTCTTGCAGAAATTGATAGATAGTTACAGATTGTAGTCCCCTTGAAACTAGAAATCTATAAAATCTAATTAAGTATACAAATGCCTTGACAGCTAAAGAACTGAATTGTTTTTTCCCCTCATCTGGAGACCTTCAAGCTTATCCATCTTCCTTATGTTTGACATTAGCAAGAGAAGACAGAGTAAATTGGCAATATACACAGAGCTGAAGCAATACCGGGAAATGATTATTTATTTTTAAATCAACAGAATACAGAAAGAATGAAGATCCATCCAGCTTGCATTATAGAACTTAAATTGCTGAGATCTGAGACATGGACATTTTTCTTTAGAAAAGTGCAGAATTACACATTACTTCAGGGATGATTGCTATAAATATCCAATATATCATGCTTCAGTTTCCTTCCCCTGTTTCTTTCTTAACCTGTTTTTTAAATTTAATACAGTTCTGGGATGAGCCGTGATGAAACAGAGAGCTTTTTCACCAAGACATGAGGAAAGTTCTAAAATATTTGACCAAATTTTGTTTATCCTGTTTCTATTCTGTTTTCTTATGAAACTAAGACTGGAAGTTTTTTTTTTCTGAGCAAAGCAACTTTAGTAATGTTGAATATTCTAGAAAATAAAAAGGAATCCCTTATGCTGTCTCATCAGGTTCATGCAAATGTTGAAAATTCTTGGAATGAGGAAGAAGTGTGGCGAATCGAAATGTATATCTCCTTTGGAATAATGAGCCTTGGGTTGCTTTCTTTGCTGGCAGTAACATCCATCCCTTCAGTGAACAGTGCCTTAAACTGGAGGGAATTCAGTTTTATTCAGGTGTGTTACTGTGTTCAAAAAAGGATTACATTGTTAATAAGAATATATTTTAATATTTGTTTCAAACCACAGTTTGCTGTACATTGAACAGTGTGTTTTCCCTCTGAAAATAACTAAAAATGGCACCTTCTTAATAGGTACGGATTATTGAATATGATAGGACACTTATATTTGCCCTTACCTCTGTGACAAAAATAAGTATTTCAAGGCTATAGGTTGTAGCCATGTTGGTCTAAGGACATAGGCAGACAAGGTTATTTGGATAAATCTGATATCTTTTATTAGAACAACTTAAAAGAGTTGGAAAAATTCTTCTTTGCAAGCTTTTGGGTACAAATACCTTTTGTCAGGCTAAAGAAATGTCTGCAGTTGCTTCCTCAGCCTGACAAAGGGTATTTGTACCCAAAAGCTTGCAAAGAAGAATTTTTCCAACTATTTCGAGTTGTTCTAATAAAAGATACCAGATTTACCCAAAGAACCTTGGCTGCCAAACAAGTATTCAGCACTTTTCATTCCTGTTTGCCTGAGAGAGCCAATACAACTCAGACTGGATGTGCTTTTGATGGTTTCAAAAAAGCCATTTGAACCTTCTTTCTGCCTTGACACATCTCCCTTCTCCTTCCTTGAACAGAGGTGCATCTGCAGGGAGACCTAACCAGCATGAGACAGTAAGACATACACAAGTCATGTAATCTCCATTAAATTCCTGAAAGGTGTCACCATTAATGAAATTATTTGTTTTGTTACTTCTGGTCATTCATCACTGTGGTCATTGATACAAAGTATTAGGCTTAAGGCAGACAAGATTTATTTGGGTAAATATGATATCTTTTATGAGACAAACTGAATAGTTGGGAAAATTGTTTTTTACAAGCTTTCAGGCACAAGCACCCTTCTTCAAGCATAAGGAGAGTCTGCTAGTCTTTGTTTGCTCTTGCTTATTAGACATGTCTCTTCTGGGAGACATCCTGATAATGTACGTACAAAAAGTGTGTATTTTATTAGGGTTTTGTGCCCAGTAGAAGTCTTGTCTGATTAAGATCTCCTGGATATACCCATCATAGTTATAGTGCCTTTTTCTTAGTCCTGTCACTATTGGCCGATTCCTACTCACATAATATACTGCTTTAATATTTGCTTTACAAATTAGAGACATTTTAAGGGGAGGAACACTTCACTGAATGCAGGTATTCTGCCTGTAGGGGAACACCTCCCACTCTCTCCTTTTATATTTTGACCATTTGGGGATTGCAAATGAAACCTATTAGGAAAGATTGCTGAAGCAGCCATTGCATTGCATGGATAAAGTATCAAAGTAGTGTTTCTCATGGCTGACCTGGCTGTTCCTCTCCCAGAAAAATGGTACTCATTTTTTTTTTTTTTT